GGCTAGGTGATCCCACACTACGTGTTTACTTTAGGTTTATTATACAAACACTCATTACACTTATAAGGTTTCACGCACACACACCCCTTATGGCCCCCTTGCATCCCCGTCACTAAAATCGTAATGGGCAGACGGTAATTGAACTATTCTATCTGGATAAATGCATTTTGGCTTTTATGACTCCTGCTATTTCGAGAAATCAAGCGTGACGTGACGGGACACACACTGGCTTTTATATAGGTTATTATACATTCAAGTTTAACAAATTACAAATTAGGAAACCCCCAAAATGACATAAGTTAGCTACTCGTCTATCAATTTTCTTAAAACATAAATGGTTAGCAGACAGCGATAAAACACGTAAATAAACAATCTATTACTAATAGTTCTACGTGCATGCTTTTGGTCCGTGAAGCATCACGTAAATCGTTAGCATCTTTAAGCACGAGCTCTTCAACAATAACAACAAAAAAGGGTTTAAAATTTTAGATATTTACCCATCGTTGTTGATTAAAGGTTGTTCTCCCCAGTTTAGTCCGTCCCGAACTAAGCAGTTTGTCACCTTCATGCCATAGATATCTAAAATAAGAGATAACTCACTTATAACAACAAACAAGAGCTTGATATGTATATACATATGTACAAGTTTGTGGTATTTATTCGCTATATGCCATAAGAAATGTAATATATTCCGCCTTTTTCGTTCTGGCTTATTCTACTTTAGCATGAATCAATAATACATTAAAGTTTGATTTTGTAAATAAAGAAGGGTTAGCAATATTTGTTAAAACTACTTTCAATGTTTGTACTTAACCTTGAACATCGATGTTAATTATGAGCGTGAGCTGATCACCAATTTTGACATTCTCAGCAACAAATGCATGATCGAGATCTCCTTGAAAAATTTTCATGTGACACGTCGGCATTGAAGCGGTGGCATACATGGGAGTAGTACCTAGCATGCTGAAATAACAAAAAAAAAACAGTTTGATAAGGATGGTACTTGATAACCACAAACAAAGGTCCAGGTATTTACCCAGGAAAATTTTCCCATAATGAATAACACAGGAAGGAAAGTAGGCTTAACCTAAATCAACCCTATCGAAATAAGGTGTTCATTATTGTGGCTTATCTGAATACAAACGAGGGCAGAGTAGCCAAACAAGGAAGCACTATCCATCCAAAGTGATAAGACAAGGAATCACGTTATTGGAATGGCGAGTGCAAAGTAGGCCTAACGTGATAACACTCAGGTGGATTCACACATACTGCGACACTCAAATGAAACTGACAAACTGAAATATTTTCTCAAACAGGGATACTGTATCTAATATAGTGAAAGTATAAGAGTCAGATAGAGTGCACAACAAGAGTAACATCTGATTTACTATTATGTAGAAAAATATGGTATTACATGCTGGCAGCAGTGACGGAATAATCATGTACAACATACTATGAAAAAAAAAAGTCAGAGCGGAAATCAACTGGCAATTGAACGAAACGAGAACACTGGAGTGTGGTTTAGTAGAATACACTCAAAAATAAAGCTTGATAATAAGTTAGTAACACGGTAGTTACATCTTATTTTTAAAAAGCAAGGACAGAACAGTAAGATCAGCATCATTTATTGTAGTGACAGGTCCAGAAAAGAAAATTCCATCTAATGTTCTGAAACAAGGACGTGACAGGCAAATAAAAGTCAAACAAACAAACTTAACAAACTGAAACAAGGACGTGACAGGCAAATAAAAGTCAAACAAACAAACTTAACAAACTGAAACAAGGATAGATATGTTGTACCTAGATTATTTAAATAAAGTGAGATTTCCAGATAATGTTTTAAAGCAAGAAGTTAGGACAAGCAGACTGAAACTAAAACAGTTAGTTTTTGGGATTATGTTTAATGTTCTAAAAGAATGCAAAAATATAAACAGAAGAATCACTTGTGTGAGACGTGACATTTACTAAGCATATCCACTACCGGCACTTGTGTGTTTAAAATTTTTTGCTAAAATTATAATAAATAATTTACTAAACATGTCGAAAGTTTTGTATCAAAGACGAACCAATGTGATAAGACTCGTTAAAAACCTTCCAAGGCAATAGCAAACGTGGTTTAGTATTGGTTTGGTTTGGTTTTGATGTTCGCGCAAAGCTACTCGAGGGCTATTTGCGCTAGTCGTCCCTAATTTAGCAGTGATAGACTAGAAGGAAAACAGATAGTTAACACCCCATACCGCCAACTCATGGGCTACTTTTTTACCAACGAATAGCAGGATTGACCGTTACATTATAACACCTACACGAGAAAAAGGGTGAACATATTCGGTGACGGGGATTCGAACCCGCGACCCACAGAGTGCGAGAAGATAATCCTAACCACTAGGCCTTGCTTTAAAAAATTCAAAACAAGGACAGACGTATTGGAGTTAGGAGTTGTGAAGAAATAACAGTCAGCTGGGAATCGCTTTCATAATGAATTGAAAAAAGGGCATAATAGTCGTGACGAAGAACTCGGCACGTGGTCCAAAACGTTGTCTCCGAAACTAGACAGAAGGGGGATGTAGTTCACGTGAAACTATTCAACATGTCAATAAACTGCCTAACACTTTCTTTATATTAACAAAAATATAAATATAACAACTCATTTTTTTCAACCTTTTTGTTGCATGAATTAAATCACTACACAAACTACCAACAGTGTACAGATGAAATGAAACAGGAAATAATTAAAACATGGATGCCGAAAACATAAATAAAAATATATGACTTGCAGTCACCCTTTTAAATATGTGTAGGTAAAACGTAAAGATAAAACGTTTTTCAGTTTGATGTTGTTTTCCTAATGTAAAGCTATACAATGGGCTAGATGCACTCTGTCCATTGCGGGGAATCGAACCCCGTATTTTAGTGTTGTAATTCTGTAAACTTATCGCTGACCCAGCAAGCGAATTTTCAGTTTAACTGTCAAATATCACAGAAAGTAAAATAATCATAATATGTAAGATCAACAAACTACAGTGTGTAGAATAAAAGTAAAACAGAGAACAAAAAAAAAACGGAAGCGGAAACATGCGACAGCTTCACAGCCAACTTCCGGATGACATAAATGTGAGAAACTACGTAATTAACATTTTTGTAACGTTGATGAAATTAATATTCAGAAGAACAAAAAAACGACATCATCACAGCTGCTATAGTAGGATAGTAACGCATGACAGCCCTGGTAACGTGTCTGCCAGCTACACTTTGGTAAATACTTCGTGTTAAATTCAAACGTCAGTGGACCGTGAACATCCTGAAAGGGCTGATTTACCTACCATTTCACAGAATGTGACTGAACCTTTCTTGGTGTTCCAAGGATGTTTACCGTCATCAAGGTCGGTATCAACTTTTTTTTTCTTTTTTAGTAATAAGAAGTTACATCCCTTCGTGTGATTAATCCCTATAAGTCGGCAGCTGTTGTTAGTTCGAATACATGCAGTTCACTATGATTAGGGTAATTCGTAGATTCAAACGAAACAAAATAACAAGTAATTCGCCATTTAATCATCGCAAAAAAAAGAAAAGAAATCACACAAGAATCTTGACATTGTCGAGACATAAAATAAATACATGTTTTCAAGGTCAAAGCCTTTTAAGCCAATGAACAAGTAGGGAGAGTTATTTTCACAGGCATTCATATACATTGTTCTAAAAAAGACCACATTAATAAACTGTGAACGATAATACTTTTCGTACCATAAATTTAAGAGCAATGAACAACCATTTTGCGAAAGGTTGGTCTTTCTTCATCAGGGTCAGACTGACGAAGAAAGAAAGGTCAACCTTTGGGAAGCCCTAGGGGTTATAGGGTTTCTTATATCTGAACTTACGTGTTTTCTTAACAACCGTTTTCTTGGTATTAAGGTTAATTATACGTGAGTTTAATATGTGAAAAAAAAAGCAATTCGATCTTAATACTATTAGTTATTCAAGATGTTGGTGAAAAAGTATATATATATATGTGTATTTAAAGTAAAATTAGTGTACACTCAGCGTAATAAAATAACAAAAAAGTAACGAAATGTAAAACAAAAAAATTGAAAAACTGTAAAAGTCATGTAGAAACACGTGTTACCTAACATTGAAATTGGAAACAATATTCTTCTCTTTCGTCTGGTAACGACAACGGACATGGTAACCTCGACCTTGACTGGTCACCAGCTTTCGATGTGGTTGGACTACAACAGTGTTGAAATACTCCACGCCATCGCTCTGCGTAATAAAATAGGATATTCTAAAGCTGGTAAATTGAATTGTCAAATGTGCATTACTGTAACTTTTATTGGAATATTATATTGTAATCGCAAGAAATTAATAATTATTCAATATTATGCAGATGTAAGGTCAAGGGTCAAGAGATAAATTCAGAAGAATAGTGCGTAGACGAGAATTAAAACATGAAAAACAAACGTGTTTGTCTGTTACAGAATTTTACCGCGAAGCTACATCAAGTGTTATTTGCGCATAGCAGTCCCGAGTTCTAAAATGATACAGAACCTACCTACAGCGCCTACAACAACTCATGGGCTACTCTTATGTTACCGAATAGTCTGAGCACTCTAACCACTAGGCCATACCCGACCCTAGAAACATTTTTTTTATTCCCTCTGATGGTTGTTTTAATTTGTTTTGAATTGGTAGTTAAGGCGCTCGATGCGCAACCTTTGGGTCGCGTGTTCGAATCCCTGTGACCGAACATCCTCGCCCTTTCAACTGTGGGGGTTTAAAACTGTGACGGTCAATCTCCCGTTTCGTTAGTAATAAAGTAACCCAAAAGTTGGCGGTGGGTGGTGTTGACTAGCTGCTTTCCCTCTAGTATATCACTACTGTATTTAGGTTAGGGACGGTTAGCGCAGATAGCCCTCGAGTAGCTATGCGCGAAGTTCCAAAAATAAACAAACAAAATTATGATCTACATTTATGCTGTATAGTGTGTGCTTTTGTTAAAATTCACTGTTCCTACAACTTAACAAACTTAGAAACATGCGCTATCATTTAAGCATCAACATTTTAATCTCTAAGAACTACAGAACTCCTTTTCTGGATGCATAGATCTTAGCGAATTAAACTACATGATCAATAGGTTTAAAATTTGTGATAAAAATCACGTATGTGCTAAGAAACATCTGAAGTTTACGTGATATACATAGGGATAAGGTTTGGCCGCCATATTGACCGCGTTTATTTTGACGAGTAAACAAGCCAGCACGTTGCTCTTGACAAGGTATGGTGAAGATGCTTAAATATCAGTCTCTATGCCTTAAATTCACATTGTTATGTTAAATTATTCAAAAACTTTTATAACTTTAATTTAACTTTATGGAATCATTATGATAACCAGAGCATTGAAACCAATAATTACCAGTCACACTATATTATCAACCAGTAATCATAGGCCTATTAGTCTTTCATCAGGTGTGGGAAAAGTTTTGGAAAGTCTGATAAAAGATGCTTTGCAAAGTATCTAACAAAGTTTAGAATTTTATTGAATAATCAACATGGTTTTACTGAGGAAAAATTTTGCCTTATAAATCTTTTGACATTTTTTGAAAAGGTTACTGCTTATGTAGATGAGGGTAAGAGTATAGATTTGGAGTATCTGGATTTTCAAAAAGCGTTTGACAGTATTAAGGTTATTTCCATCCAAATTATACTTACAATTAAAATTATGATAACCCACATGCATTATCTTGCAATTATTAGAATTAAAACACATCTGCCATTTATTCACCCAACTCACTAAATGATCTAAAGCAGCAGCATCCTCTTCACATCCACCAACACCTAATACCTTAATATCATTAGCAAACTTAAGTAATTTATTGACCCTTCCTTCATCTATGTCGTTAATGTAAATCAAACGGAGCAATGCTTCTAAGTCTAAGCCCTGAGGTACCACACTTGTGACATTAATCCAGTATGAGTGAACTCCATTTATAAGAACCTTCTGTTTTTTTCCATCCAGCAACTCTTCGATCTAATTAACTAACCATAGATATATTTTTTAACAAGCCTTTTATGTGGCACCTTGTCAAATGCTTTCTGAAAATTTATATACACCAAATCTACACTATTATCCTCATCTACATAAACAATAAGGTTTTCATATGTTTGTATTGTATTCTGTTTTAAGTCCTGGGTATTGTAGGTATATTCTGAAACATGAACATCAGAATATAATGAAAAGGGACAGATCGACATTATACATAGGTTTGTTATACAGCCAGATGCAAAGTATAGAGATGGTTGTTAACTATAATATAGGCTTAAAAAGCTTCTATTATCGCCCATAGGACTGTAGTTTTCCCACTTATTTCCTATTAGAAGACACAATTTCCCTATTAAACCGTACCTTTGAAAGGAGTAAGGTTTGTTAAGTTGTACTGATGTGTAGATCTATATATTTAACGACTGATTACTTATGTAACGGCTCTAGTTAGGGGTAGAATGAATGAAGAGTATCTGCTTTGTTTACTCGCCAAAATGCTCAGCCTCGTTTTCGCACGACCTTGACACACCATATAAGGAAAACCGTGTTCCAGTATATTCATGACAAATGTTAGGCCTATTGTTTCTAGTGCTTTGCCAGCTTTTGGTGTTTAATTCGTAACTTTTAAATTATGTAATGTACACTTTAAGATATAACATATTTGTTTTTTATGTTTATGAAAAATTAAGTAATTATGTTATGAGATATACTGCCAAGAATAGTTTGACATTCAAAACAAATACACATAGAAAATTTAATTTGTAGTGTAATCAAAACTGAAAGAGAGAGAGAGAGAGAACAGTTTGAAACTTATTTTTTTAAACTTGCATAGAGAATATTTTGTTTAATGAATAAAAAACGGAGACTGGTGATAATTTATTCTAGTGCTGATAGTTAATATCAAACTGATTTTATGTCGTTTTCGTTTACTACTTAATTAAAACTTAATTATTTAGTTGTTGTTAGACGTAAGGCTACATAAAGGGCTATCTGTGCTCTGCCCACCACGACATTTTCTTCTAGCACATTTAAGAGTCATTTCTTTAGGCTGAGCCCTAGCTAAGATATTTAAAGAAATTTATATTGAAAAAATATTTTAACAACCATTTGATTATTCTATCATTAAATTTCAATACACCTCCAGTGGATCGTATTTACCACTCCTAAGTAATATCATAATTGATGCTGTGGTATTACGTATATACTCAGACAGTCGTGAAATACGAATATTGAATTATACGTTCAAGCAACTGACCAAACACTCCCACCCCAATAATAAATAGCCGCTTTTCGTGTTCTTAATAAATATATTTTTTATTCGTAATGGTTGTTTCTTTTTTTTAAGATTTACTCACATTTTTCGTTTTACTCCAGTGGCAATTTTTAAAATTAGAAATTAAAAAAAAGTGATAGCTCTAAGGAGTCTAAAACGCAAATCAGTTAAAGTTACAAGAGTTTCCAAAGGTTTCATCTGCATGTTCACTGTAATACTCATTAACATTTGAAATATTTCATCAGCAATAAACTGGACACTTACCACGTCGGTATTCATGGTATTACAAGAGTGTAGAGGTAATGTGTAAATAACCTGTCCTCCACTAGTTGAATATTCAACCATGCAGGTGGAATTCTTGGACAGCCCCTTCGGATAAACCATCCCATTAAAGTTAGTACCAGTTGCTATGGTGACTTGGATGTTGTTGCTATGACACTGAATCCCAATTCCGGAAACATATATCGAATCTGAAAATCAAAGAAGAAAAAAGGTTTAAACCATTCTAGAAAACTTATTGAATAAATTTTTCTCTGGGTATATGCAATGACATATTGTTTATCTTTAATTGCGTTGCCATCCGTGATGTGTTGAAAATAGACGTGTACCAAATTCGTATTGCCCATCAAATATAATTTAGCAAATAGTGACATTATTGTTCTACTTATTTTCAACAATTTCAAACTTAATTATAGTATTGTGGCACTTGTGTATAAAGTTAAAATCATAAATAATATTCAACGTTAAAATGGTACACAATTAAA